TAAATATACCATGTTTCTGCTTTTTCCAGATTGCATAAACTCTGTAGATCTGGACCTATCCCTGTGTGTAGGGATCTCTCTTTGTGCAGGATTTCCATATGTACAGGAGTCCAATCTGCACAGAATATGTAGAAATTCTGGATATTTCTGCAAACACTGAGCAGAAAGAAAGTTATGGTAGTGCCTAGTAGTTTCACTTAATTGAAGGATCAAGAAAGTGCGTAATAGACTTGGGTTTTGATGTTGTAAATGGCAATAAAAGGATGAAAGGTTTATATGCCCTGCATAGTTATTAGTCTGTGAACCTGCTGTAAGTCAGAGTTTTGAGAAGCATCAGACCTGCTGTGTAAGAACTGTACAGTTTATCTGTGATTGTTCAGTGAATCTCGCATGTTCTGAAGGCAGTGGTACTGCACATGTGCATACTTTTAGTGTGAACATATATCTCAGGAGTTCTGGTAGTGAAATATAATAGCTCTGTACCTTCCAGTGCATGTTGCAAAGTGTGTGACGTCTGAGAAGAACATCCAGGATTAAGATAAACTTGATGGAGTTTCCAGTGTTGATAGTAATTCACAGTTACCTCTTTAAGTCCATAACCATATATAAACACATTTGTAATACAAGGCTTTAAAATGGTAAGGAATGGAAACTTCTCTATGGAATTACCTTACTGCAATATTTCAAGGTCCCAGCGTTTACTTTTACATATTGTATTCAAATGCGATTCCTCTCTCAAAGTGAATTTTCGTACATTGTTGCCTTCCCAAATTGCCTTTCTGCTTGGGATCCTTGTAGTTGAATTTTCAGTGGGTTAGATGGTTTGGAATTTTTCATTTATTTTTCAGAAAACCTCTCTCAGTTTTTGTGAACTGGAAGCATCGGTAGTTGGATTTGGAAATGGGTAATGAGGCTGTTATACAAAATGGTAGTGGTACAATTAACTAGGTATCAAATTCTCTTTTATGGAGTCTCTGAAAGCTCAGCATGTGTCTCTGCTGCTCAGTGCAGATTATATCTTACACATTTTACCTTTTTCCTTTTATTTGTTTTGTTTAATTATCCTCACATTCTTCTTTACTAAAAATGCTTGTGACATTTACCAACAACTAGAAACAGGAAGAAGCTGTGACACAACCTTGATAAATTGCATCTTTCAAGAAAATATTTGAATCACTTACTACAGTAGTTCTATTGTGCATTAAAAGGCGCATAAGCAGTGTGTGTGATTGGGTATTTAACAACAGTATGTGTTCTCTCAAGTCCGCTCTAATTTTATTACACATTATTTGCGTGGTTTATAGCAGTAATTTTTTAAAGACTCATCAGGTAAGCTTTGGTCTGTATCTGATAAAACCCACAAATTCTAAATGTTACAGAAACTCTGAAATATGGCATGACTCTGGTTGAGAGATATGGTCAGAGCAGGTGCTCAGAAAAGTTCTACATCATGGAGTTTAAATGCTGTCCCTGTTAGTTCTTCCAGATGAATATTGCCAGCATGCTAGTACAGCTTCCAGGGCAGAAGAGGCTTATAAATTTATTTGTTCTGAAATGTCATGTAGTTTCTATCCTGGAGTGAAACATCCATTTAAGGTTAGATTAAAAGGGGTTTTTTTACATATCTATATTCAAGTGTGTTGCTTCAGGGAGTATTTCTGTTTTGTCCATGAAACTTTTGCAATTCTAAACTTAAATTAGTGGTCATTTAAATACCTAAATATTTTTAGTAAGTTTGTGTGTAATGGTATCCTTTGTAAACAGTTTTGGTTTTAATACAGTAATTTTTAAAAAAGAAATACTATATATTATATTGCATCTTTGTTATGTTATTATTACAGATAAACACAAGTCCCCTTCAGATATAATACGAAGTTTTCAGAAGAAAAGTCAGTTTAGGACCATTGCTCCAAAAATGGTACCAAAAATTTTATCATCTGGAGTGATTTCTTGTCTTCAGTCATCTTCGCCTGAGCAAAACACACCGATTTCAGCTGCAGGTTCTAAACCACTGGTGGTACCAACTCAAAACTACGCTGTCATGCAGGTGGCTAGTCACGAGGGGACTTTTTCTCTGTTGGCCTTGCCTGTTGCCCCTGCCCTAACACAGCACGTCCAGCAGTCAAATGTGGCCCCTTCAGAAAACATAAAGCTGCCTATCCCTAGGTACCAATCTGTAAGAAAGAAATTGCTGAGTGACAAAAAAACAGCGCAGATCTCTGGTTTGGGCACATACAACAAGATTCCCACCAAAGCATCAATCTCATCACAGACTTCCCCTGTGACTACCTTAACTGAAGACTGTCCTGAAACTCGTTCTAGTTCGGGTTCAGCTGATCAAGTGATGCTGACAGACCATGACTCAGCAAAAATTACGGTTGCCACATTAGTAAATAAAAGCAATTGTGTGGGATCTGGGTCTCCCTTAGTGAACAAAATTGAAATTGCTAACGGTAATGTTTCTGGATCATCTGTAGTTAAAGGCTCTTTATCCAAGCCAGCAAGTGTAATTAATCCCATGAAACTAAGCCTGCGCTCTGTGAAGACAGCCTCTGAAACCACAAGAGAGTCATTCATAGCGTCCGAGAAACTAAAGGAAAAACCCACAAATTCTGCAAATTCTGTTGCTGTCCTGTCACCAGCAGTTCTTGGCAATACAATACAGGTGACTCCATCAGCACCAAAAGGAAAACTTCCTATTTTGCCTTACTCAAGGATGGAAAATTCAGTGTTCTGTAAATCTAAGCCGAATACTAATGTTACAGATGTATCTGGTCCTTCACTAAGACCTGAATGTGAAAAGATGCCAGCTTTGGCGAAAACTGTTCACGTTCCTACCAAAGCATCTGATAAGCGATTTACTGTGTCATTTACACAAGTCCCCAAACAAACCATTCGAGAAAATATCTTCTCTCCATCCAATAAAGTGGATGTCAACAGTCTTAAAAAATTGAACAGTACAGCCTCTAAAAGAAGAGGCAAGAAAAGAAGAGCCCCAGATGATTTATTGGCTTTTCAGACCAAGCGAAGGAAATGCATCATTAATAGATTTAGAGAAGGAGGAGAGAGGGTGAAAGTTGATCTTCAGCTACCTGAGGACAAAAAAGCAGAGACAGTGAAAAAATACCGTAGTATTAGACCAAAACCGGTGGTCGTTGTGCAGGCTTTTGCCCCACTGACTTCTGCAGCAATAGTAGAAACACCATCTCCTAGCCATTTAGACAAAGATATTTTTTTAAATAGTTCACTTTCCAACAAATATTTAAGTTACAAACATAGTGATGCTACATCAGCTAAATCAAGTGATTTAAGTAGAAACGCATGTTCAACCGTACCTAAGCCATCACATAAATGTCATGTTTGTAACCATATCTTCCAGTTTAAGCACCATCTTCAAGACCATATGAACACACATACAAACAAACGGCCTTACAGCTGCCGAATTTGCCGGAAAGCGTATATTCATTCTGGAAGCTTGAGCACACATATGAAACTTCATCACAATGAAGGCAAACCCAAAAAGCTTGTGTGCTGTGAGTTCTGTGCTAAAGTTTTTGGCCATGCAAAAGTGTACTTTGGCCACCTAAGAGAAGTGCACAGGGTTGTTATCAGCACGGAGCCCTCTACTAGCGAGCAGCAGCTGCAAGATGCTTTAAAGAGGGATGCTAATACAAAAGAGGCAGAAGAAGCAAGAGAGAGGTGAGTGTTTTCACTAATTAAATGCTAATGAAAACAGGACTTCAGGTTGTCGGAGGAAGTTCATAAACATCACCATTGTGAAAATTGTTGCTTTTTTCCTCACTTTTTCCCCTCAGGTGAGATTCCTGATGGTTTAAATATTTTGTTAAGGAATCTAGTCAATCCATTAGACCATCCGGTATATTTGAGCTGATTTATTGGATATAAATTATTACTGGCATTTGAATATCCAAAGTAGTTTTGCATATCTTCTAGTAATGCCCAGTATACTGCCAGTGGAGTTATTTTGATCTATTGATTTCTCACAGCTAACACTTTTTCTGTTTATCTGCCCTGTCTTCTGTGTTCTACCCATTTTGGGTTTTCCCCAGAAAACAGGTGAACCAACTGCAATAAGTGCGAAGCAATTTGTATTTCAGTATTAGCTTGTCGCTGTTTACCCTATTAAATATCATTATCCCATTTCCTTCTCTGGAGTGCTGTGAGCAAATCTGTCTTTTGTGTTGATTACTGACTCTTGCAATCACTTAGCCAAGTAGAAAAGTTAACATTTACGATATTAAGAGAGACAGAACATTCTCTTATCTCTGTATCACGATTTTGAGGTGAAATTCCTCGACACAATATAAATTTTGGCTTCTTCGTTTGTTCCACTGTGCATTTGCATTCATTGAAATAGACTTTAATAAGCTCAGGGATTTAACCTGATGCCTCACTACAACACTACAGTTCAATTTTACACATTTTGCTTTGCGTACCTTCACTCTCTGGGGCATCAGTTTGAAACTTTTTAGGTATTGAGCCTAAGAAACACCAGTGCTTGTCTTTCAGCCTTACTCGTCTTCGTACAATGAATCAATGAGTTTATCTGTTTTCTTGATTATATGTCTAATGTGCGTAAACACACAATATTACATGGTCCTTTGCGTAGGCATTGTGAGAAGGTTTCTGTGGAGGTCTTCTTTTGATTAGCTTGACTTTAAACAGGGATGTGTTAGCTCTGTGAGTGTCTGTTTCCTTTATACTCCAGAGCTGTCCTAAATGGGAGAGGGGTTGTCCGTTTGTAAATAAGGTATTTCAAACTTTTTCAGCTGTATTAGGAACTTGTACAGAAAATAAAGAAACTTTGGAGTTTCATTGTTTCCATCGTGGAGTGGGAGGTGGGAAGTGATTTTGCCTTAAATTGACCTTAGATCACTCATTGTAAACAAGTTAGATTCTCTTCGTGGTGTGCTACACATAATATTCACTTTTCCAGCACAGAGCTAGAAGTGTTTGGATTGACCTCACTAAATCAGGAACTTAAAAAAAACATTATTAACCTTTTATTAAAAGGTTACTATTGTTAAAAGATTATTTCTACCAAGGCTGATTTTGGAGGCAAATCTTAAACTCAGCAGTGTTGAATAACATTTGGCTTTAGTTGTTTCCTAATCAGCCTTATTATTATTTTCCTTATTTTTTTTTTCTGTTCCATATAAATTAGATACTGTAGCAACAGTTGAAACAATGTGTCATGAATGTCCTCTCTTGTTGGAAAGTCTCAGGGCAGAAATTGACATCTCTCTTCTGTACGTGGCTAATACTGAAATAGTTTGTATTTCTTTTTTTTTTAACAGGGGAAATAAGTGCAATTTAGAGGACCTATTCCATAACCCAGGAGAAGTGAAATTACAGATTAAATGTGGTCGATGCCAATTTATTGCACAGTCTTTTGGTGAAATGAAGTTTCACTTACTGTGCTTTCATGGAGAAGAGATACAGGGAAGAGTAAAGGAAGGGGTTTTGCAAGGAAGCAGAGGAGCTAAAGGGGAACTGACCAAACATGCAACCCACTGGAAACAGCGCAATGAGAGAAGACATTTAGCAAAGTGCAGTGCCCATGAGGAGGAGTTTTATACTTTTCCAAAACTGAAAAGACAGATACACGTTCACCATCAAAATCATGTCGATATGTTATCTAAAGGTGAACTGACTCAGTCAGGAAGCAGTGAAGCAGCCAAGAAGGTGCAAAGTGTAGGTTTTGGTACACCAAGGAAAAAAATAGAAATTTGGTCTAAAGCGGGCTATAACTGCATTTTATGCAAACACTTATTTGGAAGAAAGGAGGATCTTTGTAATCATTGGCAGAGTCACCATAACTGTGAAGACCCTTCCACCTTATGGACAATTTTTAGTTTGTTATCAAAACAAGGAATTATTGAACTTTCTAATCACGGTGAATATTGAAGCTCAATTCTACAATGCTATGAAAAACCTCAACTACCTTGCCAAATTGTTTATGTTTTTTTTGCTGTGTTGCGAAACTAACGTAAGACATGTATCACTTCAGAGGTTTGTTTGGTGGGTTTGTTGGGGCTTTTTAAATTATGCTAACCTTCATTTTGTTGAATAGAAAATGTATTTATCATTCCAGATGGATACATGCAAGCTGATTATGAAACACTGTACTTAAAATTCATGCTTAAGGAACTTAGCAGCAGCGAATACTCAATACTAATGGTTAACATCAAGGAAAAAGATCCCCCAAGTTAAATTATACTGTACACACAGAATAAATCAGTTTATATGAAGTAATCTCAATCTTGAATGAAGTGTAATTTCAGTCCCAGCTTTGCTTCCAGGTGTTATGTTAAATAACATGTTTCCATGCAGTTCTCTGAGTCATTTGAATGTGCATATATGCAGTTGGCATTCAGGAGTTTCATAATCTGTAATTTGAGCTTTTAATTCTTGTTTTCTTGATTTCAGTATTTTCCACCATGTTCATTGCTTGCAGATTTGTTATTGGCAGGTCTTTTAGGTGTTCTGGTAACAGCAAGGATCTTTGGATTTTTAAAGTGAAAAATCTACATGTATTTTTTTACCTGTAGCTTTTCAGGTCGAAGACAAGTTAGTTGCCACCCACGAAGATGGAACCCTCAAAACTTGACTGCTTTGTGAAAAAAACAAAGTTTGTTTTAAAAATAGTAATCTGAGTTGGTTACTCCTGGGAAGTTTTAGCACGTTCCTTGCACCTCCCGTGACAGCAGGACTACGGCTGCCAACACCGTTAGCACTCTGCCTTTAACATTCTTGGTATATAGCTTTTGTACCTCTGCAGTAGACCCAGTCTGTGGCTTTAAAGGGAAGTTGTTCCTTCACTTCTAACTCTATGGTACAGGTAATACGTTTCTTTCACTTGTGGTGCCAGATTTACTGTACTAGAGGAATTGTGTGCAGCACTTTAACTTTTCAATGTCAGAAGCCATTAACAGTTGCCTTACCAGGATGCAAATCTGTAGCAGCCTGTAAGGCAGGAGTAGTGCATACTGTGTCCCCTGATACCAAGCAGGCATGGTAAATGACCATTTCAGCACTTCTCCAAGGGGCAAGTCAGTTTAGGCTGTAAGGAGATGAAGTTCTGAAGCTCACTTTTGATGGAAAGGTCGTTAAACCATTGAATCTAGTTTGAAATTGATGTTTAAACTGCTGTAACTTAAAGCCTTATGTACCTCTGAATTATTTTGTGAGCAATAATGGAGGCAGCATAAGAAGGCACTGTATCACTGTTCAACAGTAGTCAGAACACTTCTGAGGGCAAACTGAAAAATTTACCAGTACTGTCTCTACAGTACTACTCTATCCATTTCTTCTTGTGGTCAAACTATAATTGAGGGGTTGCAATGATGAAGGAGTTGCTCCTAAAATGTCCCGGTGGCTTCCTACTGTTTTGCAAAAATTGTGGTGATGACAACATGAGAACAGATCTAAAAATGTTGGGTTTTCTGAGTGGGATTCCAGAAGATGTTGCAATATTTGTGTATTTGTTTTGGTTTTAAACAGTAAAGGCAGTTTTGATGAGCTAATAGTTTTGAGTGTAATTTCTTGTTGTATGATGCTTTGCCCTGGAGTTGAACTAGAAGACTGGATCCAAGAAAAATAAAATACAAAAGGAAAATGCTCATAGAACTGTACAGGTGTCTGGTAAGGTGGAATAATCCCTGTGGATTTTCAAAACTTCCTTCCTACTATCTGTTGCTATAAATACATACTTGTGGTTGTTTCTTTGCTTTAGTATATTACTTCTGTATGCTGAACTACTTTAAAAATACTACTTGTTCTCATTCTTGGGTAAGGCACACCCATCTTTTAATATGTGCAATATATTCATATTTATTTTCACTGGGTAGACAGAGGAGAATGTACGGCGTATTTGGAAAGGAATAACGAATTTTAAAGTCAGTGTTTCATATCAAACTGAGACTATATTTAACTTTGTAGAGTATGTTTGCATTTAGAAGCATTTTTTTTCTCAAGCTTAATCCTTTAACTTTCAAAATCAAACAGCTTGATGTTTTCTCTGAAACAGAAATTTGAGAACAATCCCTCTTCCACAGAGTTACAATGTATCAAAGGGAAGTTCATTCCCAGCATAAAGCATGCATTTTGAGAGTTGGGGGGAAAAAAGCCAACCAAGCAAACATTAAAAAGGTTTGATCATGTTCATTTTTTAGAACAGACATTAGATCACCTTTATAGAATCATAGAATGGTTCGGGTTGGAAGGGACCTTAGAGATCATCTAGTTCCAACCCCTCTGCCATGGGCAGGGACACCTTCCACTAGATCAGGTTGCTCAAAGCCTCATCCAACCTGGCCTTGAACACTTCCAGGGATGAGACATCCACAACATCTCTGGGAAACCTATTCCAGTGCCTCATCACCCTCACAGTGAGAATTTCTTCCTTTTATCTAATCTAAATCCACCTCCTTTCAGTTTAAAGCCATTTCCCTTTGTCCTGTCACTACACGCCCTTGTAAAAAGTCCCTCTCCAGCTTTCTTGTGGGCCCCCTTTAAGTACTGGAAGGCTGCTATAAGGTCTCCCTGGAGCTTTGTCTTCTCCAGTCTGAACAACCCCAGCTCTCTCAGCCTTTCTTCATAGAAGTGCTTCAGACCTTGGATCATTTTTGTGGCCCCTCTCTGGACTTGCTCCAAGAGGTCCATGATGGTTTCACTGAGGACAAATCATGCCTGACAAATTTGGTGGCCATCTATGACTGAGTTACAGCATTGTTTGATAAGGGAAGAGCAAATGATGTCATCCGCCTGGACACATGCAAAGCATTTGATACTGTCCTACACGACATCCTTGTCTCTAAATTGAAGAGACATGAATTTGACAGGTGGACCACTTGGTGGATGAGGAATTGGCTGAGTGGTTGCACTCAAAGACTTGCAGTCAACGGCTTGACGACATGGACAGGGGGATCGAGTGCACCCTCAGCAAGTTTGCTGACCACACCATGCTGTGTGGTGTGCTCGACACACTGGAAGAAAGGGATGCTTTCTTACAATATCATCCATTCCTTTGTATAGTTTAAAAAGAGCTGAAATTAATGCCACTCTGACACGGAGTCCCTCTTGTTCAGGAACAGCACCAATGATGGCAGAATTGTCCTTCTAAAATATTTTCAAAAAGTATTTGTTAAAAATGGTGGTGCATCAGACCCAGTGATGTAGATGACTTGTTTAGCAGTGGTGATCAGGCAAAAAGAGTCGCTCCCTTTCATTGCAGGTAAAAGCAGGGGGGTAGTTGCAATGACAATGGGAGGAAGGAGGTTTGGGATGAGGGAGTGGGTTACATTTTTTTTTTTTAATGGAAATTTTATTGTACAGTCATTTCTTTTCATCATATTTTGTGCTTCTCTCCCTTTCTCTAGTCCAGGCCAAATGGGTAAAGGGATCTCAGCTTTCAGAAATTTAAAGCCTGAGAACATGTTTTAAAGTCTGGTTCTAAGCCACTTCTCAGTGTCCTCGTAAATGTTTAAAATTAGAAGCCTTTTCTTCTGAGCCTGAAAGCATTCTTATGTTTCAGGCTATTATGATTATGGTGGATTACGAAAGGCTGGGATTTTTGAAAATAGCTTTGCATTAAATACAGATGTATCCTTTGTTTAAAATGTGTTTGTTTTGCATTTGTGTTCATTTTGATAACATTTGGAGGTAGAAGTGAGCCTCATTTACAGCAACATGAAATAGCGTGTGTTTGCTGTTCAGGGGAAGGATTGTTATGAATACAGTTTGCTGTTTACCTTGAAGCTGGGCAAGTTAACATCTGGTTTTGCACATAAGTTATATTTTTAAATTGTTAAAATGAATGTTACTGGTTTTGTAGCTGTAGTTTTGTTCCCCTCTGATTTTTCATTAAATCTCGGTTTCAGCTTCACTGTTCAACTTTAAAGCTGTTTCTCACATGGAAAGTCGTTCCTTCATCATCACACCATAAATAATCAAAGCTGGAGGAGTGCCATCGCTTCTCTGGCTTGCAGAGTATTGCCCTTCTCCAGCTGCAGAGCTACAGTTTCCTATGACTAACCTGACATAGTTGCTGGCAGTAAATGTTTTACTTCACTTATTTATTAGAATTTAGATCTCTGCTGTTTAGCTCCATCAGAGTTTCTGTCATACCTCATTAGATACTTATTTTATCTACTGTTCACTGAGCTCTTTAAAGAAAGTGTCATAAGCAGGATGAACAGGTATTTAGGAGAGCAGATTTCAGCCCTAACTTTGTGCAGATGATGCTGACGTTTGAGAATCACCAGCTTATCTAGGCTCAGCCATGTAGTATATTATATTTCTACAACACATCCACCTACATGCGCGTCTATTTTGGAAAGAAATATATACTTCAAATTCAGCTGCCAGTTATTATTATCAAACCTGTACAATATAGGTTTGTGATTATTATGCAAAAAGATTAAAATGCTATTAACTGTAGCAGGTTTACTTGTCAAATTCCTTACAGCTTTGAAAAAGGAAAATCTCCGCGTGCTGAGTGTGACACAGAAAAAGTCTAGTCTCATGAAGAAAATTTGATGGCTTAAAAAGGTTGTCCTCATTTCAGTGTGTGCTTTTGTAGCTGATCTATCACATTGTAGGATTTTCTCCACTTTTTATTAAATTGCCGTAATTTTTCTTGGCTAGGAATAGTGAAGAAGACCTGAGCCTGCAAGCAAGTTTCAGGAAGAAAATGTGTTTACTGCCTTTCTCTGTACAGGCAGACACATCCATGGAATCAAAATAGTCTTGATGGACATACATATACGTGTGGGGAAACGTGCAAGATTTGGGCTTTGTGTGGCTGCAGTTTTTCTGCAGTTCCAAAGTAGAAGGTGCAAATTTGAGTGATTTTGATGAAATCAGTGAAAAGAAAATTCTGTTGGAAAGAGATCAAACTGTCCCATGTGTGGATTTCTCTGCACAATTATACCACTGTAGATGAAATTTGTAGATAATAGGTCTTCTACTGGTAGGTACAAGCAG